CCATCCTGGGAGCCCAGGATCGCCCGCCGTATCGCCGCGACGCCAGCTCCCCATCTCTACCCAAATTCTTCTTTTTGAAGTAAATGCTGCTGGGATTAGCAGGGGCAGGAGCTATCAGGCTACTGTGATATAAGTTTCCATCTTTTCTTTTATATCTAGAAAAGACTGACGAAAGCCTTAGAAGCAGAACTACAGTATGTGCCAAAATTTGACTCACAGAAAGTAAAGAAGAAGAAAGGGATGAACAGAAGACATGGAAATCAATTACAGAATTATAGCCTATACTTTACCATACATACATGGGTGTTTGGAATTTTTTTGTGAAAAATAGATACAAATGATAAAGGAAAAATATTGGAACACTGATGTCACTGATACCTTTTTCTTTTCTTCAAACCCAGAGACATTTTACTTTCTTGGTTTTCTATTTCAGTTTCAACATGGAACCTAGTTATGATTTTTTGCATATTTATGAAGGAGGAGATTCTAACAGCCCTCTGATCGGCAGTTTTCAAGGTTCCCAGGCCCCAGATAGAATAGAGAGCAATGGCAATAATCTGTTCTTGGCATTTCGGAGTGATGCTTCTGTTGGCATGGCAGGATTTGCCATTGACTATAAAGGTAAATTTAAAACAATATGTATTTACCATATTATACAATACAAAGTTCATCTATTTTTCTATTTTTCATCCAGTTTTAATGAAGATGCAGTTTGTGTAAATTTGTAGCAAAATTAACCATAAAAATTTGGGAATGATTTCATTTAATTTCTAATTTTCCATAGATTACAAATATCATTAGTGGCACTCTCTAGAGCAGGGTTCAGCGGCAATATCATTAAGATGGTTGCCTAATATGTTCCAAAAAAACCTTATTATCTTAGTTATATTGGACTGATTTTATGAAGTATTATCAAAAATTGCAAAAATGTGCTTTGATTTATATCAAATGTGTTGCAGCCACCTTATTTAGAAGTAATGTAAATAGGGCTCTGCAATATTAGTATTCATACTTTAATATTCATAAAATTACACTTGTTTTGATACTAATTTAGAACTGGTTAATGTTTTTCCATAACTACTTTCAAGTTTCATCAGGAGGCTGGACTGAAACCACTTAGATAAGCTCACAAGGAAATCCAAGAACTGAGAATAAATAATATTTATTGACGGAAGTTGAAAGCTAGTACCAAAAAGAATTTCAGCATCTCTGGTTATTCACAGACTAGCATTATTTATAAGATAAGCTTCAAGTCTCCTTACAATTTTTTTTTTATCCTGCCCTACCTAACAGAGAACTTGACCCCCCCTTTTGTCTCCTTTTGGCTTTTGTTTTTATAGTAGTCAGGCTTGCTATTAAATGATTGAAAATTAACTGTCCTACCATGATTGGTTTGCTCTTAGGTTCAGTCCAGTCTTCCACTGCCTTTACTTTAAATTTTCCATTTGAATGATATAATTTCTTTAGACATTATTCTGTTTTACAAAATATTTGCATTTGCCCAACTGCATACAAATGGGGGATGGCAGGAGGGGAGAGAATTCCCAATTTTAAAGCAGTTGTGAAAGGTAAGAAGCTACGAACATCCCACTGGTTTCAAAAAGTTATCTGGTTCTCTGAAGAATCAGTCAAATTTCATATAGATAGGAAAATGTATGTTTAAAGGCAAAGCAAGACCTTACCTATTCACTGAGAGTTATATGTAATATCTATGGATATATGGTATACTCCTGTTGAAAAAATACTTGCAGTTTGGGCACAAATTATTTAAGGAGTGCATATATTTTTCATTTAATATAAAATGAGATTTTCTACTGTATAAAAATATACCTTTACTTTTTCTGACAGATACTCATTACCAGTCATAATATGTGTTAAATACCATTTGATTTTTTTGTCCGTAAGAATGCTGTGTAGTCAATTTCCCTTAGCTCATTGATAAATTACTATATCTGCTTAGAATTCATAAACTTTTTTTCTAAGTAGCAAACATGCTGTTCCAATGCTTTGCAAACAAAAATGAATAAATTAAATGTGTGTGACAAATGCAATTTTTAAAAGGCCATCCCAAACAAGTATGTTTGTAACAGTTGCTTTAGTACTGTAGATATGAACAAATATATTGTCATCTTTATTGATATTGATTCATGATGCTTTTATTTTCCTAAAAAGTGACTATTCTACAGATACTGAAAAAAAATGTAAAATATCCTTAACGGAAGGCATTTTTATAGTCCTGACGTATAAAAATTTTAATTTCTATTACAATAGAAACCTATACATATCTACTCCAAAATCAGTCCCACCAAGTTCAGTGGGACTTACTGTTAGGAAAATGGATACTGAATTTTAGCAATAAATAAACATGCAAAGTATTTTTTTTTCCTGTAGAAAAAATACTTGCAAATATTTGCAAATATTATGTGCATTAAAAGCTTTCAGGCCCTTTTCTCATTGGTAATCCAAAATGATACTATGGTGGTGTTGGTGATGTTAAAAGATATGACAGATCCAAGAGAACTGTTAAGACTCCCAATTCCTGACATAGCTCAGCTATCAAAGGTGACCAAAGCAGTCTCAGACCCATATCATAACTGAAAGCTTGTCTGAAATGTGCAATAAGCAATATTGTCTTTAGCTTCTAGTTATCCAAATCTACTGGTTGAAGAAATGGATGGATGGATGGATGGATGGATGGGCACACAGACAGACTTACTCAGCTAGGTGAAGGTGGGATAGGAATTAACAGGTGGTAACCTTCATCATTCCTGGAGTGGATCATGTTGATTCAGCTTGATTCCTGTATTTTATTTTAAACAGAATCTTAACCATCTTTCTCTTTTTAATTAGAAAAACCACGAGAAGCTTGTTTTGACCCTGGCAACATAATGAATGGAACCAGAATTGGAACAGACTTTAAACTTGGGTCAAGTATTACTTATCAGTGTGATTCAGGATACAAGATTATTGATCCTTCTACTATCACTTGTGTGATTGGTGTTGATGGAAAACCTGCTTGGAACAGAGTTTTGCCATCTTGTAATGGTATGTATGATGCTTTAGATGTTTGTTTTTTTTAATGAGAAATTGCATGAAGTCTTGGAAGTACAACTAATTTCACTGTTCCCTCTATTCTGGCATTTTGACAGTCTTCTGCTAACACAGTAGGGTAACTGAAGAAAGAGAGAAGGATAAGCTCTTGGTTTCCTTCTTGTGGTTTACAGTATCTTTGCTCCCATGCCTATTATTGCCATTTAAGGTAAAATAAGAGAAGAGAGAAGACAGAGAAGTGGTTTTGATGGTGGAGATAATAGGAGGGCTTGCAGTAAAATTCTATTATGTGGATGGGATAATCTGGAAAATTCATCATTTTCCTTTTTTTTTTTTTTCATTTAAAAAATCTTGAGAGTTTCAGTAGGTCCATTTTATACCTATGGAACATATGTTATATGTGCCCACATTTGTAGATTCAGTACTGCAATACCAGCTCTTGCTAATCAGAGAATTCTGGATAAGGTAGACAGTAATATGTTGTTGTAAGGGAGCATCTATGTTGATAATTACCCAACAGTACACCCATAGCCTCTGTAATTAAGTCTATCCACCTTGAAGCTTCCTATGTTAGATACCTAAATATTGTGTCACGTAGCTAGTTACTTAAGGGAACAATACAAATGGTATGTTGTTCCATATATATAGTTTCATTATCTTGTAGAATGGATGTGGGACATGGGGCAAAAATGCCACCCAGGCCAAAAAATCAACACAAAAATGTGCTAACAGTTTTGGCCAGCCAACTAGCTGTGTTCCCTATATATGTATACCAACAAATCAGAGGCACACCCATGGGATCACGACTGTCAGGATACATAGCAGAGATGGTAATGCAATGTCTAGAAACTATAGCACCTCCACGCATACAACCTAAAGTAAGGACCTGGTATGTAGATGACACCTGTAACTATCAACAACAACTTCAAAGGAATAAAATTCACCAGAGAGGAAGAAAACAACACGCTACCCTTCCTGGATATCCTCATCAGCAGAGGAAACAACAGCAAATTAGAAACCCAAGTCTATCGGAAGACAATCAAGTACTCAAGCAAAGTAACAACCCAACCTCCCACAAGAGGAGCTGTGTAAGAACATTATTCAGATGAGCACAAACACACTGCAGAAACCCAGTCACCAGAGAGGAAGAAAACAACACGCTACCCTTCCTGGATATCCTCATCAGCAGAGGAAACAACAGCAAATTAGAAACCCAAGTCTATCGGAAGACAATCAAGTACTCAAGCAAAGTAACAACCCAACCTCCCACAAGAGGAGCTGTGTAAGAACATTATTCAGATGAGCACAAACACACTGCAGAAACCCAGAACAGCAGAAAAAGGAAATAGACCACCCAAATAACATCTTCCAACAAAATGGATGTCCACACAATTTTATCAAAAAGTGCCTGACCACTCAACCTACTATAACACAATCAACACAAGCTATGAAAAGGATAACACTGCCGTACATCAAAAGCATCTTTGAAACTACCAACAGATTATTACAACCACATGGCATCTCCATAGCACACCAAGCTAAATCCAAAAATGCGAGGGAATTCCTGGAAGCTTGGTATTCAGAGAAGGCACCCATCAACAGGCACATAGAGATAAACAACATCTACACACCATTCAAAAGAGACAATAAAAAGGAAAACAAAAGACCAGAACATCTCCCCACCAGCAAT